CATGGAGGTATGCAAATTGGCCATTGTAGAGGCCTATCAGATGTAGGACTCATTAGTGAATCGGTTTGGCACTGGCCATTAGCAACACCTTCAACCAGTTAATTATGGTACTGGCCATAAATCCGCGCTAGCCGCTAGATGGCTAACAAGATCTACCCAGAGATACAGATACATCTATTGATAGACATGGATCGATGTTTCTATGGATAGTGGGTGTGTTATGCAAATGCCACGCATAATAACTTCAGTAAATATACCAGCCAAAAAGCCAACTTACATATACATACAACACACTCATACAACAGCATTTGTTGTCTTAAAAACGTATTTTGTGGCTTTTAGCCACGTGCTGTTCTCTGACATTCTTGCTCTCCATCTCTCTGTAGACGGTTTTTATTTTATGGAAATTAACATTTTTTAATGGGTTTCTGTTTTCAGGCCAGGCCCGACCAGCGCAGACATTAATTGTTCGTCGGAGGAGAGCCGTGTCATGCTGCATGTGAGATTTCCTATAGCGTCCATGTACGTAGATATGTGTGCCGGTGATTTCCCCGGTCAGGCAAACAAAATCAAAAAATAAAGAAAAAAAACAACAACAGAAAATGCTACAAGTTGCGTGTAGCTCTGGGTAAAAATCCATCGCCGATCCATCGATCTGAACGAGTTTTGGCCACCCGATTGCATTTAACGGTGGCCCACTCGATTGGTCTGGGGTGAAAGCGGTCGCATGTTAAGTATAACTTGGGAATGATAAAAAAAAAATACTCTAAAAAGAAGGTGTCCAATTTTTAAAGTCATCTCGTTTTGCAACTTAAGAAGAACTTTAAACATAAGAATAGTATTAAGCAAAATCCACAGACTTAAATCAAACCTTAGACATTTGGAAATACTATACCCACTGGTCCACGGATGCTAAGCAGCGCGTCAAAAGCTGGAAGATAATCAATCAATCAGAAACACAAAGAGCTTTATGAAGCAAATCGGTAATGTGGAAAATTCTTCGAACAGACAGACTGGAAATGATAATAAGGATAATGATAATGATCGCTTCCACATGGAACACACAGCTCGAGGCGTTTCGAATGGGAAAAAAATAACCAATTTGTATGCGATGCGATGGGAAAATGGAACTGCAAACCACTTGAGTTGACTGCATTTTCGGGAAAACGGGAAAATTCATCTCAAATGGAATTGAGTGGAGAGGATAACAAGTGCAGCGATCGCATTACACAAGGACTCACTTTCTGAGTAGAAAATTAAAAACCAGTACCGGCTATCTCAATCTATCAATCGCCAATTTAAAATCGATTAAGAGAAAAGTCAATGGAAAAACAGCAAGGAAAACGGGTCTCCTCTCGACCATCAGATTCCTGTCCACATTTTAGTTAAGACGTTGTTGAAATTTGAATGCCCCAAGCAAAATAACCCCAAAAAAGAAGCAACAGAACACGCAACTTGAACACAGATCGAACTTAATTACAAGCCGGGGCGAGAAGAAGCCCCAAAACTGAAAAACAGAGTTGTCGGGAGTTCTTGAGTTGGGTTCCCTTGTTCCAGTCAGTCCCCATAAGATACACATCCCACTACACAGAGAACCACTTCAGCCTAATTCCGATTCCGAATCGGAATACGACGCCCACAAGATGACAAATGGTCGATGGCAACGCCATCCGCAGATGGATAGATATTTAGATACCGTGGCTGGGTACCATAATATGGCATTGCCATGGGAGATCCGAATGGGATCCGCAGACAATGCCCAACGATGGAACTGAGGGAACCGTGGAGCCACAAAGCAGGTTCAATGACAGCCCCAGCCCGCGATAATTATCATCATCACATAGCCCTGGTACTGTGATAATTCATTAAAATTTTGTCGTTTCACCGACGTCTCTTCTTTTTGAAATCTCTGAAATAATGTCTTGAAAAGCTGTCGAGGGGTTTGTCTATGGCAAAGATACACCCAAAAACTAAGCAACTATCTTAAGGGGAACTTTTCTATACTTGATATATTGATCATACAATAGTGACCTTAAAATTGTATACAGAAAACAAGTTTACAGATAGATTTAAGTAATATCTGAATATTGTTAGATCTTGAGATTACCATGCAGATATTTTATTACCTTCTTAAATCACTACTATTTCTTAATCATTATTTAAAAAAAAATAATAACTCACCCAACCCACCTTATAGTATAGAATTTCCCTTTCTAAACCGTACAAAGTTCCCATGCTACCTAAAAAGATCTCAAATTAAACAAATTTTGTGAACTCCGCGAACTCCAAACTTTGTTCTCGTCATTAGACGAAGAATGAACAACGCCACCAGGGGCCAGTTCGTAAAATAGTTCGTAGATTCTAAGTACATGCTGTGCATACTTAAGCTTAATGCCTGCAGATGGGAGTGTCGGAATATAGATACGCACCTACATACACACACAAGGCTATAGCTTTATATAGTCGAACTATATATCGTTATGCCCTCTGCACATGTGCAGCAGCAATCAAAGATCTGTTTATTGTTTACAATAGCAGGCAGAACCATCAGCATCAGATCCACATCCCTACTCCTCCGCCCGAATAATTTTTAGCTGGCCAGGCACGTGCCCTTCCCCCCAATTCTTCACCACCCTTTAACCTCCTCCCCCTGAAATCCAGCATCCCAGAGTTTCCAAAAGTGCTGATTTGAATTTCATTTGGCTTCCTTGGCATTCGCTGGCACTACAATTTCGAATATAATTTATAGCAACGATAAGTTTTATGCACTGAGAAAAATAACATCTTTTATAATATTGTAGGTAACAATAAAACTTTATTTTAAACTATTTAAGTACCAAAAATCTTTTTACTGCAATAGAAACTTTTAAAGTACTTGATATTTTTAGATATAAAATACTTTTCAGTGAGCTGTGAAAGAGGAGTAAAGGGTGAATAATGTGGCGGGGGTGTAGTTGCACTGCATAATGCTATATGATTTTTATTTATGTTTTATGGACTGTTTACAGTGCAGGAAACCAGACTTCTTAATATTTTTCAGAGTTCTTAAAAGTTTTTGTTCGTTCATTGACATATTTCTCTTTAAAAAAAATATTAATGTTTACATTTTCAAACCCCTTGGCTTTCTTAAGTAGCTTTTTCTGCTTCCCTTTTTTAACTGGCTCTATAATTCTTCAAATTTTGCAATTATTTGAATCAACAATTCCTTTATGCCTCGGTCATAGCTCCTTTGGTTCGGCATTGGGTCAACTGCCTCGACTTCAACTCGTTTGAGTCTCACGCAATTTGCTTTGAACAATTTCTAAATTGACATTTGTTTGCGTGTGCCGGCATGTGTGTCTTTACTTGTTGCTCCAATTCAAATTAGCGAAACTTAAATGATGGTAAATTTTGCCAAAGCAAATTTCTTATCTACGCTCTTGATCTTCTTTGTTTTTGTTACGAACTCTGTAAGGGTATATTTAATGGGCATATCTGTTTCTATGGACAGTTTGTTAACCAGATATTCCTTTATTATAGAGTAGTTTTTTTTAACCATTTGACAGATCTAAGTACTTAAAATTTTTTTGAAAATATCTTGATGACAAAATAAACAGAGCATTGAAAAGTCAGCTATATAAGGAACTTTTGGATGCCAAGCCTTTTTCAATATACAGTTTCGGGTATCCCACAGTCGGACTATATCGTTCTTACTTGATTTCTTTCGTTATTTTCCTAAGACGCATATAAAATTGGTTAGCAACCTACGATGATCGCTGATGGTTTTTAATTACATGGCAGCTTGCAGACAGAGCCTCTTAGCCCCCCTAGAAGCCAACAAAAACTACGGGTTTGGCGACCACAACGGCAATTAACAATCTTTTTGGCGGCGACAACACTTAACGGGACAGCATTTTGCGAAGTCGAACGAACGCATCGATTACCTGAAGGCGTTGCTAAAGCAGGTGAAAATCAAAAAAAAAAAGAGAAAAAAAATTCGACAAACTCACAGGCAGCAGCTACGCAAATTTTACGCAATTGGGGCCAGCAAGAGAAGACAAAAAAAACGAAATGGGAAACTGCCATGGGCGGTTTTCCCAATGTTCGTTCGAATTTTTAATATAAAAAAACAAGATTCCAAAAATGCAATAACTAAAATGAAACCTTTACCATCAATCTGTCGCACTTGAAATATGGCAAGATTTCCAGTACATCACGTATACGACTGCATCGAGAGTGACTGACCCCGAAACCCCAACTACTTGTCCAAATGACTGAATGAATGAAATGACAGCCAAAGAAGCCGGAGCAACAAAATCCAGCTAAGCAAACATTACAATAAACAAAAAAAAGCATTTGCCAAAAATGTGAAACAAGAACAGGCCAAAATAAAAAGTTCCCCAGCGAAAAGTGACGGAGAGAATCGCCGTATAGAGACCTTCGGGCCATGAATCTGTTTTTGGCTTTTTGTGCATGTGAAGGCTTTCATTGCGAATCTTTATTTTTGGTGTCAATATTTGAACAGAGCTTGGAATTCTGTTTTATGTTAAGTTAAACAAGGCGTAACTAATGTAATTCCAGTTTTTAAAACACTATTATATGCGAAAATTAAAGATTTGTCAGTTTTCTAAACATTTTGCTTTCATTATGAAAGAAAACCTTATTCCAAGTTGAAAACCCAACTTTTATCCAAGCAACCAATTAGCCAATTTTCCTAGTTAATCAGAAAATCATGTGAAAACTAATGGGGAACCCTGATCACCAGTCAAATGTTCTTTTGAAACCATTCCCATTCTTTTGTGGTTCTGATTTTCCCTGGCAAACCATAGAAAATCACTTCCCAGGCGGATCAGCAATTGATTGAGGGAATGATTGATGGATGATGCCCAACACACACTATCTCGGATCTCACATATCAACTACTAGCCCCTCAAAAAACCCTAATCAGATTAGCTAGATGTCATAACCCGCTACGGCTATATACGGTATAGGTATAAGTATAGGTATAGGTTTTCACTTACCTGTTTTCCCAACACCTGTGGCTAAAATAACGATGATAATGATAATGACGATAAAGGTTGGAGGCTGGGACGATGCAACAATTGCGGTTGCATGTTGACCGGAAGTTTTCGGCTGGCCACAAGGCAGGATATGGATATCGCTGGATATCGGTGGATGTCCGTGGATGTCGTTGTCTTAAGTTTATTGTGTATACATTCCCTTGCCAAAAGAGAGCCAAAAAGAGAGTGCGAGAGGGCTTTGGCCCCGTGTGTTGGCCACTTTTCACACGCTTTCACTTGAACAAAAACTCAAAAAACTCAACAAACACAAACAAACTGGTCACTATTTGTTTTTCTTTATCATCTTTCTGGTTTTCACTCGCGAATTAGTTGTTGTTTTCTGTTTTGTCAAACCAAAAACAGGCAAAAGCATCCAGCAACAAGTGATATGTGCTCACAAATGCAAACAAACTAGCAAAGACACACGCGCACGTCAACAAAAACAATTGTGTGGCAACGGCGCAAACGCAAATGCAAATGCAAACACACTGCCAAATGTAAACAATGTCAGAGCAACCGTTGGACACGTCCGTTTGCTTCCGAGAGTGAAAAACAACTGAATGTTCGTATTGAGAGAGGCTCTCTCCCGTACGTAAGGCGCTGCGGGCAACAGATCTTTTAGCGTTCTCTCAGTGCGTTCAATTGCGAGAGAGAGTTCGTATTGAGAGAGAGTCTTGTTTTGATATTTAGTTTTCTGTCTCTCCCGACAGATGGCGCTTTTAAATCTTCGGCGGCGCTATTACCTAGCGGAAGTTTTACCAACGTCTAACCGATCTCAAGCAAATAAATAAAATAAAACATTAATAATAAACATAAAACGTTTAAGTAAATACAAGCACCTTAAGCACATCCCGTAATTTAAAACCTTAGTTTTTTAAAACTAAAAGCGTTTTTGCTGTTTATCTTGTTAAACAACCCGCTAAAAATTGGATGATGTCACGACTGATCCTGAAAAGTCCCCTAATACCTTTTCAGGTATCCTGTGGATTGGGGCCGCTTGCACTCCACAAGTGGCCTCGATCTCTTAAACCAAACAAATTTAATAAAAAAAATGTTTATTTTGCCATAATGAATAAAAACCAGTTAGGTGCCATTAGTTCTACGGACATGGGTAAGGGAAACCGTGAACCTTTTCCTCACACACTAATGTTAGTATTAGTTCATCTGCTCTCTAGTCCTAGTTTTGATAACATATAAGAGAAGAGGAGATCATTTTGTCTGGTATTATTTACGGATATTCGGCTAGATGTAAAAACACTTAACTAAATTCGAAGAGGAGCAAGAGCTAAGTATGTTATATCGGCAATTAGATACATAGATATACGGATAAGTACTTAAGGCTAGCAAGCTACTTATCGGCTAGGTATTCAACTAAAGCATAGACAAAAAAAATAAGGGGTTTGGGACATTATTGGTACACTCAAGACTAGACTATACATAGGGTCTAAATGGTAAATGTTAAATGGGGGTTTTGGTTTAGGTGGTTACATGTAAGTGTTGTTCAAGTGTGACTAGTATTCGTTTAGAGTTGGCTTATGGGTACATCGGCTACAATTACGATTGTTGTCATGACATGGAGCAGGATCGAGCAATATATATATTTCAATTGCTTGGCTGAGCGGGAGCTGGCGGAGCTGAAACTGGCGTCTGTTGTCTGCGCGGTCAAGCGACGATATCACTGCCGGGATTATAGCCAAAGTAGTTGAGGTTGAACTCGTCGCTAAAGAGAACTTCTTCCTCGGAAGGTTCAGCCTGGTGTGACATCTGAATGCCCAACTCCATAGGATCGATTTCGGTGATGTAGTACTGGGAGCTACCGCTGCCCATGTGGCCATTACCAGCCAAATGGTTGCTATTGCCGCTACCCAAGTTGCCATGTTGCTGCCGCAGGACACTTTCCGTGACCACCACATCCTTGTGTATGGGATTGAGATAGTCTTCTGTTAAAATAGATTGAAAACAATAAAGTTATTACGGAATGAAATGGAATCCTAAAGCAGTTCCCCATACCATTATCTAGCAGGACATCGTGGTAAGTACTGATGATGGAGTTAACAGACTGCACCTCGACCTCACGATGGATTCCGTTCAGGATCTGACCCGCCGTCTTTCGTAGCTCATCGTCGCTTAGGAGATCATTGAATGGCAACAGTCTTTGGTGGTGATGATTGTGATTGTGATGGTTCTGGTGGCTATGGTGGTGGTGCTGCTGCTGATTGGCCTCACTGCCAGCACTACCGGACGTCTGCATCATTTCCTGGGTAAGAGTTGCCGCTGCCACTGCCGCTTCATCGTACAGGCAACTACTGGCCTGTGTTGTATGTTGATGTGTCGTCTGATGTTGCTGTTGCGGCGAGTGTTGTTGCTGCTGCTGTTGCTGCTGATGTTGCTGCTGTTGCTGCAGCTGCTGCTGTTGCTGATGCTGCTGTATGCGCTCACGGTTGATGGACTCCATTTTGAAGAACAAATCCAGGCGTTGTTTTTTCTACAATTGAATTCGAATTAATAAGAGATTACTGAAAGTGTTTAACGGCTTTAAAAGCAACACTTACATGCTCCCAGGCCAGAACATTCTCTGCCGAATCACCGCTGGATATGGCCCACAGGTGACCAGCTCCTTGGGGAGCCTTAACGCCCTTGCGAAAATGTGGATTAATTGAGAGATTGTGTCGCACAGAGTTCTTCCAGCGATCATCGTTGGATTTGTAATATGGAAAGCGGTCACTGAAATATCGAAAATATGTTGGATCACTAAAAATATTGAAATATCTTTGATAAAGAGATAATGTATTTGAGTATTGTTTTCCTAGCCATACAGTTTAAGATTCAAGATTTCCTTTTGTTCTTGGTTTAAGAAATCTTAACTTTTTTCTTTATATTAATTTATATAGTAAATAAGCTCACTCCACTTTTTTATAAAGCTCCTTCAGGATTGGCTCTTCTATGAGAATACTCACCACTGGCCAGTTGACCAATTGCAATTAAAGTTTCAGCCCCTATTTCGACCAGCCAATCCGGAACGGAAACGAGGCAGTTTCCATGAAAACACGTCATCGCACAGCACTGCGGCAGACCCATACAAATCCGTAGTGAAATACTTGAATAGGGCCATACGGACATGGACATGGACACGGACATGGAAAACGGAAAAGGACATGGACAGGGACACTGGCACAAATTATGCGTCGTTTCTTTTCTTTTTGCCCTGGGTTCTCTAGCTCGTTTTTATTAGTCAGTCACGAACAGGCGATTTCGGTAGGTGGATGGTAGAAATAAGTACAAAAAAAAAAAGTGGAGTATGCCCCATGTCTAGCAGGTGGAAGAACCCGCAATCAGACCACTCCGACTCCCACTTTTCAGATGTAAAGAGGAAACAACGACGACCGGAAAGGACATCGCGTGCCAGGATTCTTCGCTGGGTTTTGGGTTTTTGGCTTGGGCTTTGGCTTCGGCTTGGGTGGGGCTTTTGGCGGACAACAAAATGGAAAGTATTTCAAATTACGACACACAGAGGATTGGAGTGGGCGGGCGGCACGCGCCGAGGTGGAAAAACTACCCCCGAATGGGTCAGGCTATGTCATTGGTTAACTACCACTGCCCCCGGGATTTTTCTCTCTCTACTATTTCCTACGCCCACATTTCAGCTCGAAAGCAATCCAAAAAATTTCAGCACGCGAACGAGAAAAGAGGAGTTCAGTTTTTGGGGGTTAGGCCATCCAACCCCCTAACCCCCAGCACCCACAATTTCTTTCGCTTTTCCGTATTTTCCTTTTCGGATTTTCCCTCATTCGGGAGAGAGAAATGACGACTCATAAATGTAGAAATGAACTGAAATATGGAAATCCACGGCATTTTCCCTCCAACCCTTTCCCGCTGCCAAAACGAAGTCCTTAATGATCCCTCGGCAATGTCCTGATAACTGCGATATGTGGGGAATGTGTGGATCTCCCCTTAAGTAACCGGGATATACTCTATACATATATATTTATATGGACTCTTGCGGGGATTTGGCACGCAGCCCGTCATGACGCATCAACCCATGATATGGCACTTGAAATTGCCTTCTCCAGAGTTGGGATCCAATATCCCGATGAATGAAATGAACTCTATTTGCCAGTGACTTGGCTGCTTTTACTTTTTGTTTTTAGCTTCATTTGTTTATGGATAAAGTTTTAAGATGTTCCAATGATAGTTCCCTAATTGCCAGATGTTTCCATATACAATTGGAATTTCATAAATCTCTGTGCTTTTAGTTAAGTACACAGTTCAGAAAGTATCTTATTAATCTAATCTTTTCCTAATATTTGTTCTATTTCAGAAATTTTCTTATAGATAATATTAGTTTGCTTTGCTATTCGCAACTACAAATGCATTTCCCTTCAGACCAAGCTCAACGAAATGCAAAGACTTAAGCTCATTCAAGTCCAAACTCTGACAATTTCGATTTAAGCCCTTCAACTCCCCCAAAAAAAACCTTTCAACTTTTTGATTTGCCGCATGCACTTGTAAATTTCAAAATCTTAAGTCAGCCATTGATAGTCCGGATGGAATGGTTTATGTTTATGGGCGCTGCATGACTGTCTGGTCTTAATCATGTACCCAGGCAATCGATACTAAGGCCTGTATATATATACGCATATATATATATATATATATATATAGCGGAAAAGGTAAATTATATATGCAAGTACAAGTTTGTATATCATGTTTTGGCTGCCGCACTTGTCGAATTGTCAACGTGGCTTCAAGCTCGTAGTTCTCCACTCGAAGGGGAAAAGCCACCCATTTTCTTTTTTTTTTTTTGATGGTAGGTGGTTGGATTGCCTGAGTGGATTCGGTAAGTTTGGTAAAAAAAAAAAATCAAATACCCTCTATCAGTGTCGTCATCGTTGTCAATGAATTTGACTGACTGACTTCGCCTCGGATTTGAATTCGGGTGACTACGTGAAAAAGGAAAATAAAGAGAAGGGCAGGTGGGTTTTACTATGAAATTGTCGAAGTACACGGAATGCCCGCCCACTTTCAACCCATCCAGTCCGCTGATAATAACTACATCATACTATATTATATATCCGCTTAAAATTAGTGCCAAGTCATGTATTTTAAACATGGTAATTTACTTTGCCAAGTCAGTTATTAGTAAACTTAAACAGAAAGATATTAAAATAAGTTTATGATAAGTTAAGGTTTGCCAGATATTCTGTAACTGGAAAATGATGTCCTGTACAAGCTAACGTTGAATTTAAATCACTGACTCTGCATCAAATAGGGGTTGTCCAGCCCTGATGAGAATTGCTATGTAATTGACTATCCAATACCAGACCCATTCCTATCGCCTCGCCACCAAGGCAGCCATTCCGAGCCATGATGAGGTCTGATAGGCTGTGATGGTCGCTCGGACTAGTTAGTTGGCTAGGGAGGATAGAGGCTAGAGGCTAGAGGCTTAAAGACCTGGAAGCCCAAAGGCCCAAATGGGCCGGGCCGTGTCTGGAAGTGCCTGGCACGCAAACCACCTCAAACACACTCTGGCGCTTCATTTTTTTTGACATGGCAGCAAGGACCGGGCCACCAGACTGGGCAACTACTTCTGCCCCTGGATCCGTATTTATATATATATATATATATATATATATACATATATGCGAATTTATAGTATATATCTGAATGGCTGTGGGGCCCACACATATATTTATTGCAATGCGCTAGTCAGTTCATAAATTGTTGCGGCTCGTTGGCTCTCCCCGGCCAATAAAAGAAATTGCCTGGATTTATGGCCAGGAGGAGAGTCGAAAGTAGAAGTTGCCTCATTTCGGTTGTGCAAAATGAAAAACTTTTTAATGGCAATTGCCAAATTCATTTTTTTTTTACTTTTTTTTGCACTCGCTGGGCGTAACTGTGGCCAGCCACGCCCTCCCGAAAAAAAGCTGGTAAATCGAAATCCAAAGTTATCCCAAGAACATCGGACTCGATCATGGTTGGCGGTTAGGAAAATCAAGAAAAAAAATATCCTTGAAGATTTTTTTTATTGTGGGTGGAGAGCCCTTGGTCTCAAGGAAATAATCTCCTGCTTTTCCACAATAAAATAAGCTAAGGACAAATCGAAATTAACCTTGATATTGTGTAACTTTTGATTCAGAAGAAAAACCATGATAGTCTTTTGTTTTTAGACTGATAGTTTTCCATGAGTTGAATGATTAAGAAAAAGTAATAAAAGTTTAATAATTATATTATAAGTCGTTGCAAGATGGACTGCTTTACTGCGAATGAATGCTAAACTTCGGCTTACCAAGTATCTACCTTCGGCTTCTTAATATAACTCTAAGTATTTTCTGAAATTCAAAGTAACAGCAATTTATGCCTACGTTTTAATGCCCTTCAAGAGTTACGAAATGCATTTCATATATCAAAAGGTTATCTTTTATAAGGGTCAGCCATTAATATTGATAGTTCTCCTAGTTGCGGTTGTTGAACGGATCCTGCCACATGTCCTGGCCGATCAAGCATGATCCGCATCCCATAAACACTCAATATGCTGTGGAAATTGACCGGAAGAAGAGGCGGAGGCATTTGCAACCCCCGCTTAACCCACTTAACCCCTTAACGCCGAACGCCGAACCCCGATCCAGGTAATTGCTCTCTACTATTTGAACATGAGCATAGGCAGTGGCATGGGCATGGGCATGAGCACGTCAAACACCTGATCCACGGGATGCAATGATGCATGTAAAAGGTGTAGAAAAGCCGGAAGGACCCCGACTTGCGCCTTCAACCCCCACAATTAATAATTATTGTGAGCATTGGAAATTTCATGGGCAATAGCCAGGGCGAAACGATTAAGAATTGAAAGGAAGGCGGAGAAGGCTCTACGGGTCGCGTGGGCGCGCAAAGTTCCGTAGATTGCCATTGGAAAACAGGAGGGGGCTTTAATAGGTGGGATGGGTGTCAAAACCCTGCGCAGGCGCCATTTTTGCCTTGACTGCGCGAGGACACGGCCCTGGAAAGACCACCCCAGTTCTCCCAGTGAAAAAGAAAAACCTCATGGCTATCACCCAACTGGGAGCCACAAAGTAAATTTGTGAATGGTTAATGAAAAGTTGCCCAAACTCCGACTAAACCGAAACTTCTTGGACTGTCGGTTCATTACATTAAATGCAAGGGGAGGTGAGCAGGTGATGGGCAAATGTCATAAATTATTTGCCTTCCACCCACTAACCCCTGCCCCTTCAAATGGGGTGGTTTTATATGTAAATTTATATAGGATATTTACACGCAACATTCTCGGCTGCGGCTTCAAATATTTACACTGATTCCGGAGCCCCAAAGTACAGAACTAAAACATACAAAACAGGTGAGGAATACGGGGGGGGTTCAGAATGCCAAATTAATGAACCTTGAAAAATGTGTTAAAAGATTTTCGTTTTCTTCGTTTACGATTCTTGTCGAATTGATATTTTCAAACTTAACTTGGATGGCATGGCGGGGGGAAATATGACAGGAAAATGGGTGGTAGTCTGCGGAAAGTAGGTAATAACTAAAACCAAAACTGAGAATGCATAAAAAAGGGTAAACTCGAATAAGTCTATAAATTTTCAGCATTAACTTTTATAGACTTATTTGGCTGGAGAATGATTTCTTCCACTTGACATCTTGACGTTGTATTGATTATATTTTTAATGTAAAATAGTCATTACTTCCAAATGCTTAAATATTATATATAAAATATATATATTTTCATGGGATTAATAAAAAAGAGAGATTATATTTCATAGAACTAAATTTAGTAAAGATGAACTAACTATCACTTGAAATATAATTTTCCTAAATAATTCAGATTAACAATGTCCCCAGTAAAATAATATCCAGCAATAATATCTGATATATAAAGATATATCAACTTAGTGTAAACAACTTGTTGAGCAACCCGCAAATAGTTTGTGTTACAACATTTTTGCTTTTCACCTTACGAGTATGTAATGGGCAGGAAAATGCAATTTTCCAGCCCATAAATTTTGTTTTGAGCTGCTAACTTTTGGCACTTTCATTGTTGCCATTGTTGGTGTTGGATTTTGTGTTTGTTTGGTTAACAACCAAGGAGCAACAACACAACAAACAACAACAATAAACACACACGAGGAAATCAAATGGCCAACGGGAATGCCCAAGAAAAATGCTTGAGATTTGTTTAATTACATCCGGCTGGCAGTTTTTGCCCTCAACAATAATAAAAGGAAAACACTCAAACACACAAAATGGCGTCCATCAAAATGGGCGATGGGTGGTAGGTAGTGGGTGGTGGGTGATGGGTGGTCTCAGTGGGTAGTACTTACGATATCCATTGGTATATGCCCGACACAGTCAGCTCACCCTTATCCTCGAGGGCGTATTCGATGAGCTCCGTGTAGGTGAACGGTGGTTTCTTTGGCCTGCTTGTTTTGCGGTGGTTGGTTTCGGATTTCCAGTAGCCAAGTTGGTGGGTGGGTGGTTCAGTGATTGGGTGGTCGTATAGTATAGATGGTTGGTAGTTCGTAGATGGGGGAATTCGTCAATTCGTCGGTGGCATCGATTGGAGAACGGCGGCAAAAGCAAATGGTAAACGCGTAAATTGGGAAAATGGATTTATAAAATATTAGAAAATGCATAAGAGATACTAATTTTAAAAAGATTATGACTGCTTTTGAATGGATAACGGTTTGTAGGAATGCTATTGGTAAGATTGATATCTTCGAAAAAATAATAAAGCTGTACTCACGCCTTGGAAGATGTATCTTCGACGACGACGTGCTCGGCTACGATCATGTCATTGCCGTCTAGCTCCGAGGTGACCTCCATTACCAGCTCCTCAAATTTTCGTCCCGTTTTGGTGGTGCCCACTCCAGCCATACATCCACTTGCAGGAACACTAGAAACGCCGCCGGTTCCAGCACTCGTTGGCATCGCCGAATTGGGCGATCGGGCTCGTTGATCCATAATCCCGGAACCCAGAGATGGATTCGAGTTGGTGGCAGATACGGCGGATACAGCGGAGGCGGATGTGGGCGAGGCGGAACTGCAAGGCGATGTACTGATCGCCACCGCCGTTGTAGGAGGTGGATGCGGATGAGGAGTACTTCCTTCTGGCAGATTCACTGCCTGTCCATGAACCTGATTGTGCGGCGACAGATGCGGAAACTCATCGAACTTAAAGTTAAGCAGCCAGGACAGGTTCTTATCCTCAAAATCAGCCTCGGTGGCTTCATTGGCACCATTTGCCGAACCAGATGAAGTGCGTCGACCTGCCGATAATATTCGCTGCTTCTGCGGCACTAAAAAGTTTGGGTTTTGATTGGAATTCTGGCCAGGATTCTGAGGATTCTGTTGTGCAGTCTGCTGTATGTGATTCGATTGTATGTGATTCGATGAGTTCTGTGACGATGATGATGATGATGATTGTTGTGGTGGCGGTAGAGTGGCATTCAGTTGTCCCAGATCCGCCTGCAAACCGGAATTATAGCGATGATCCAGCTCTAGGAGTTCGCCACCCGTCCATCCGCCATTGTCCTCAAGAGGAGCACTCGATGGTGGACAATGGGAATAGGCGGCGGCGGGCACAAGAAGACTGCTATCGTAGGCAAAGAGATCATTGATGAAAGAAGTTGAAGATTGGGCGGGTGCAGCATTGGTTGGATTGCTAGGTGGCTGTTCCAACTGCAAATGGAATTGCAGATCACCGGCATCGTAGTCCAAGTGCCGCTTCTTCCATGGATTCACTTCGATGGGCTCGTAATCCTGACCCAATGTTAACTCATCCTGATCGTCGTATTTGCGCTTCAGGAAATTGTAATCACCGGGAAGATTACTGGTATTATTAGTATTACTATTTTGATTGGTGGTGTTACTATTATTGTTGTTGTTGTTGTTGTTGTTGCTGGGATTCGATGTGGGGCTTGATGCACTGCCCGTGCCATTGACGGGCATGTTGACAATCATGATGTCCTGGTTGTCTCAATTTCAATCACGTAAGCCAAACTAAACACACAACGTTCACACAGTGAAAAAAGGGGCAAAGAAAGCACGGGAAAAAAATTGACGTGTATTTGTTGAGAGGATATGGTATAGGTTTTTCTTTTCTATTTTAATAACTTTTTTTTAGTTTAGTTAAGAGAGAAACAGTGAGAAATGTTTGGTCCGACTTGGCTAACCGTCTCGCGCTGCGACTGGCCACGGAATGCGATGGGCCGTCAGGAGTTGAGACCAACTTGACTGAGCTGTGAGCTGCGCTTGCGCCCTCCTTCGCCTCCTGCCGCTCATCCACATCTACAGCCATATCCATATCCACCACCCCCGGACACTCAGTCATGCACATAGGCGGTACGTCTACGAGGCGATTTGAGAGAGGACCTGTACCCGCGCCCATACCACTACCCTATCCCGTACCCCCAACCCCTTCCAATTCGATCGAACCCAAAGTCCAGGCAGTGATGACACAGGTATAAATGGTTTTACCTACACAAATTCTATACAATTTGTACACGTAGTGGTATTAAAATAATTGCATTTGAAATAGAAATAGAAAGAACGCATTGATAATCCTCTGATTTTACATTATTTCATTCTCGTGATATTTTATCATCATAATTATTTATATATTTGCAGAAATGATTATTAAATCTTGTAAACTTTATCTATCGCTTTATCAAATGTACTCTTATTCCAATTGTATTTTGTATACTCAGTTGAATTAAAGCCATGTACCTTAGGTACACTTACCTAAATACTTGCCACCACCGAGTCCAGGTCATGTGCCGCTGGTTCTGCTTGGTCGCTCGATTCGGCCATAATCGAACATGTGCGCCAAGCTGTCCGTTAGCCAATTTCGCGCTGACAGAGAACAGGGTGCGGGGTGATAGGTTCTGAGTTTTGGGTTCTGGGTGCACGGTAGACCCATTCAAGCGTCTAATCGACGACGCTTTTATGCACTCCATGTACCCAATGGACTCTATGCGCCCGTTTACTGCACAGGTGTTGCACCGGCTGGTTTTCAGGGAAGTGCGTCCCCATCTGTGCGACCTGGTCAAAAATAAAGCAAAAGTTATTGCATAATTGTACCAACAAACTTATTTCTATAAGGTCAACATCAACTCAGAAAGACTTTTAGCTGTGTAACCATTAAGATAAGTTTTTTGTTTGTCCAAATATCTGATTTCCGACAAAAATGGTGCAAATATAGAATGTAATACCTCGTTAAGTTTGTTTTTTAAATCCTTGCCGACCTGCATTCACACTTAAAAATGTCACAATTTTTTCTTTTTCGCCAAAATGGATGATTTTACCCCTTATCAAAAATGCGGAAATCGGCTTGTTCCAATGTACGCCTCAACATGAAAGTATTTTGCTCATAACTTGGCCGATAATGGCCCAAATATGGTATGTAATACCTCGCTGAGCTTGTTTTCTTATTCTTATCAAAACTGCATTCACAGTTTGAAATGTCGAATTTGGGCCATTTTTCGAAAATTTGGATGATGGTACCCTTTATCGAAAATTCGAAAATTGGTTACTCTGGTTTTTCTCCCCAAGACGCCAGTATTTTGCTCATAACTTGGCCGATAATGGCCCAAATATGGTATGTAATACCTCGCTGAGCTTGTTTTCTTATTCTTATCAAAACTGCATTCACAGTTTGAAATGTCGAATTTGGGCCATTTTTCGAAAATTTGGATGATGGTACCCCTTATTGAAAATGCGAAAATTGGTTACGACTGTTTTTCTCCCCAAGACGCCAGTATTTTGCTCATAACTTGGCCGATAATGGCCCAAATATGGTATGTAATACCTCGCTGAGCTTGTTTTCTTATTCTTATCAAAACTGCATTCACAGTTTGAAATGTCGAATTTGGGCCATTTTTCGAAAATTTGGATGATGGTACCCCTTATCGAAAATCCGAAAATTGGTTACTCCTGTTTTTCTCCCCCAAGTCGCCAGTATTTTGCTCATAACTTGGCCGATAATGGCCCAAATATGGTATGTAATACCTCGCTGAGCTTGTTTTCTTATTCTTATCAAAACTGCATTCACAGTTTGGAATGTCGAATTTGGGCCATTTTTCGAAAATTTGGATGATGGTACCCCTTATCGAAAATCCGAATATTGGTTACTCCTGTTTTTCTCCCCAAGTCGCCAGTATTTTGCTCATAACTTGGCCGATAATGGCCCAAATATGGTATGTAATACCTCGCTGAGCTTGTTTTCTTATTCTTATCAAAACTGCATTCACAGTTTGAAATGTCGAATTTGGGCCATTTTTCGAAAATTTGGATGATGGTACCCCTTATCGAAAATCCGAAAATTGGTTACTCCTGTTTTTCTCCCCAAGTCGCCAGTATTTTGCTCATAACTTGGCCGATAATGGCCCAAATATGGTATGTAATACCTCGCTGAGCTTGTTTTCTTATTCTTATCAAAACTGCATTCACAGTTTGAAATGTCGAATTTGGGCCATTTTTCGAAAATTTGTATGATGGTACCCCTTATCGAACATGCGAAAATTGGTACTCCCATTTTATTTCGCAAGACGCCAGTATTGTGTTCATAACCAATAAGCCAATAATGGTCCAAATATGGAATTAAGATAATTCCTAGTATATCCCTCGTTATGCAAGGGAAACGACAAAGGAGCAGAAAAGTTCGTAATTTACTAACCTTTTCTAATCCGGATCTAAAAAAAGCAGTTAGCACTTCGGATTCTCGTTTATTTAATTCCATTGATCACTGGTTGAATGAATGTTTGACATGTCGGCATGCAGGCCGTGAATAAATGTGTGTATGTGTTGATGAGTGTTGAATATGAGTGGGCGAGTGTTTTCTTTTCGGGTGGCTAAATGCATTTGCTTAGTACAATATGGTATTATTCAAATCCTACTCAGTACATTTTGTTTGACAAAATGGGTGATTAGTTCTTTGTTTCCGTTTATCGATTTGTTATTCTGATGTCTCCGAGAGTATCGTTAATTAAGGCTAATATTATTTAATATATTTCTTTTTATTTTGTTTTGGTTCCTTATCGAGCTTTAGTTCAACTAGATCGATCGACAGACTTGAGAATATGACTTAATTTTGAAATGTTAATAAGGAAACATTCGTTTTGTATTTTTGTATATCAGAACATTTGTTCGATCTTCCTGTGAACTGAGAATGGAATAGGCATAGGTGTGGAATCCTTTCTGATGTGAAAATTGAAAATAGCTCTTTAACGTATTCTTTAATTTAGTAGCTTATGGCCAAGGAAAAGCTTTTCCACTCTACCTTCTTACACCCTCATCTGAGTTTTTTGAATAAAAGATACACAAATTCCTCTGACTTCTTGCGTTATTTTGTGTATATATGTATATATAATTATATGTGTGTATATCTTTCCCGCTTTGCTGACCTTTCTTTTACGTGTGGTTTAATATAAAGCTTAGAGAAATGTTCAAGTTATTTCTGAGCTGGAAAATGTGTAAGGCAGCAGCTTTTCCCCTTCTCTTAGTAATCCTCCTTCCTCCTCTTTCATTCTATTCATCCAATATTTCCCCCTCTCTCTATTTTGCTTTGCCGTTTCTTCATCTCGCTCTAGTTCGTGTGTCTATGTTATTTGTTAACTTATTTTCATCGCCGTGTCATTCTTATTGATTCATAATCCCTAATCTTTAGTCCAAGCCATCGTCTACGAAATCGGCTGAGCCCTTCTTGGTTTTAGGCTCGCTCGGCTCTCCGGCCTTTTCTTCCGCTTGGGCAAAGGCAGCACCCACATCTCCGCCGGGCACAAACTTCTTGATTAGGTTGAAAATCTTTGGATTTGACACGTACTTCGAAATATTGGCTGGATTTCCAAGGATGTCCTGGAATAAAAAAGATATTAATATTTAAACAGTAAGTGTAGCATCTCAGAAAAACGTACCTGCATGGCGGCTGCTACTTCTGGATCTTTCATTGCGCCCATCAAATCAGCCATGTTTACGCCGCCGGGCATTCCCGGCATGCCACCAGCGCCAGCACCGCCGCCAGCTGCACCTGGGAATCCGCCTGGGAAACCGCCGGGGAATCCACCTGGGAAGCCACCAGGGAATCCCCCAGGGAATCCACCGGATGACCCACCAGAGTTGGCACTCTGCTTGGCCTGCTCCTTACGGGCACGGTTCTGAGCTCGTTGACGTTCCTTGATCTTGCGCTCTGCCTGGCGACGCTCTTGCTTGACGCGATGCTGCTCAATCTTCTTGGCATTCGGTGTGACCTCCTTGAGCCACTCGTCTGTCTCCTCGTCAAAGTCCAGCTTGCACGCCTGCCGCAGATCCTTGGCTGCCAGCTCAAATTCACCCAGAAGGCGACGGGCACGTCCTCTAAACTTATAGGCAGCTGCCGAATCGCAGTTGAGTTCTAACGCCTTGTCGCAATCCCGAATGCAGGCATTTGGTTTCTTCAGCTTTAGGAAGGCCTGACCACGCTTAGCATGGAACAGGGCATTGCCTGGATTCAGTTCAATGGCCTTGGTATAGAAAGCAATAGCCTCGTCGAACTTTTGCTGGCCATATGCAGAGGCCGCCTGGGCACGCAGATCGCCCGCTTGGTCCACCTCCTCCTCGGTGGGCTCTTTGGCGGAGTCACCCATTGGCTGGGCAGGATCGTTGTCTGCCTCGATCACCCCTAAAAAAAATATAATCGAGGCTTATTAATGAGAAGAGCACTAATATAAAATCTTATAGTTGATATCGTCATTGACCTAAAAATCTCTATACACCGCTTAACATGTACATATATTGGAAAGGTTATCAAATTTAGATTGCCTTTATATTTTATATGTGGTAATAAAGTTACATAGATTTTATTGATTGATTGCATCGACCGTTCGGTATATATTGATTGGAAAGCCCTAAATGGGCTTTATGTTATTTAAATGTTATTCGCAAAGTATAAAGTGTAATGTTTTCCAAGCTTTAAATATATATTATATGCTTTTTTGGTATAATATAAGGAAAAATGTTTTAATATCAACATATTTGATCCTAAGGGTTGCCAACAACACATCGGAATATTCGTACGCCAAGGGTGGTGACCCCTTAATGAGCACGTGACTCGGCAAAAATTAGTAAAAAAAATGAAATGGTTACCCCTACAGTTTTTTCCCTTCTGATTTTGCACACACACACTTACCTTCCATATCCAATTCGACGTCCGATTCGGGCTCGGAAAGAGACTCTTCATCCTCGCTATCATCGGATGCATTATCGGCAGGATCGGCGGACCCAGATGCCGGCTTGTTGCCCTTTGCACCAGCGTCGCCACCAAATGGACATTTGCTAATTAATATAAACGAATAAGAAAATCAGTATCGAATGGTTTTCCATGCTATATGTTTATATGATAATATTTAAATATTTTCGGGAAAAACTTACCCTCCGGCCGAGGCGTCGGGCATCTTGAAATCACCAGCCGGCACCTTGCCCCCGAACTTCTCCACAAAATCTTTGACGAACTGCAGCTGCGGCATGTTCAAGACCGTGGGATTTGAGTCCACAAACTCGATGAAGCTCTTTAGCTTCAGCAGATCCTCGTGTTGCATCGGCGCTGCCATTTCTATATCTCACTATATATCTCGGTATATATATACGTTCTGGTCTGACAACCTATTAAATTTGCACTTGCTTTGCTTTTTAACGTTACCAAATTGTTGAACGACAAAAATACCGCACGCATAAGAAAAATACGGCACCCTAAAATAATAGTATTACCATAAATCCAAAATCACAACGAAAGCTAACAAATACACCGATAACGATACTAAGAAACTTAAAATTTTAAAACCATTGTTTTTGACCCTTCCTGTTGTAAAAAATGTTTAAGTGATTAATAGTATTTTTTCACTTTAAAATACTAATAATAAGCACAAGCTTAATAGTTACATTATAAAAATGTTACACATGATATACACTATATACCTAGTAAACAAAACTAAAATTAATCCAACAAATGATACCCCATTAAATTCACTCTGAAAAGATGAAAACTCTACCGGTAAACCCCAAAAACAGTGGGTATCGATATTAAGTAGTTTTCACACTGTCAAATTTTAAAAGCAATTTCTAATTTTTATTTAAATATTTTTCAATTAAGAGCTCCAAAAAACATTAAAAATAAACTGTTACATTTTCCCCTCAATATACTGAAAGCAAATGCATACATAAACTTATTAATTAAAATATTAATACTCACTGAATTAGTTGAGAGGAACTGAATGCTTTAAAGGGTGTCACCATAATATATTGAACCTGAAAACAAAAAAAATTTATGAACTAAGAAAACAATTAAAAACAAAGATTATAATTAGATAAGCCAAAAATTAGAAAAAAAAAAGAAAATTGAGATTGAAACATGAGCTTTAAAATCTTATCCCAAATTAAAAGCCGTTTTTTTTTTTAATCATTTTAGTATTTTTTATTTTCAATGTTTCGTCTTGTTTTTTTCCTTTTCGTCTGCTTTTTGTCTTTTTTGTTTTTATTTTTTTTTTTAGCTTTTTTCGTTTTTGTTTTGGAATTAATTTATTAATTAATCTTTATGTTTACTTATTGATTTAGTATCTTCTTCGCGCTTTTTCCTCTCAGTTAGCCGCCCCCGTCTTTCGCTTTTGCTTCATTTACTCTTCGCTTTCTCCGCCTTTTTCATTCTGGGGGTGGTGGTGGATGGTCGGTTGGTTGAATGGTCAAGGGATATAAAATGGGGGGAAAATTTTGGGGTGGGGTTCGGGTTTCGGTGAGGGGCGGTGGCCTATTCTGAGTGCCCTTTACCTCTTGCTCTCTCGCTCGCATGCAAATATTTTTATATCCTTTCACTTTAAATAATTTTTTAGCATAACTATTAAATAATTTGTTTATATATAATATATATATATATATATTTATATATATGTATATTCAGTTTTTTGTTTTTTGCATTTTGTTCAATTTAAATTTTATAATTATTATCGTAATTATTATTTAATAAAATACTCAACAAATAATTTAATGGGTTTTGTTTTTCTCGCTTTTCCTCGTTTTTTATGCTGCTGCTGCTGTTGGTTTTCATTCTTATTTTTTTTAAATTTTTTGTTTTTTTTTTGTTTTTTCTTTTTAAGTATTTATATTTTGATTCGTTTAGTACTATTTAAACACTTAGTAGGTATTAATTTGTTTAGCTTTATACGCTTGTGTGTTTGTGTTTGTATGTGTGTGTTCTTGAGTGTGACAACTTCCCTCTATGAAAAACTGAATAAAATCGAATAAAAGTCACAAATAAATAAAAACATCTCTTTGTGGTTTTTTTTTATCAAACATTTTGCTTGTTTATTTTGTTTCTCTTGTTGTTTCTGTTTCTTGGTTGTTGTTGTTGGTTTCGCTGTGGATCAAACCGAAACCGTTAAGTGGTAATAAAAATAATGATAATCGTAATCAAAATAATAATAATAATAGTTTTGTTTTAAATATGTATACGTTATAATTTAAGGATGTGCATTTTACATAATTATATAATAGATAGATTCGCTCTCATACTTCTTTCATCATCTTCCTACTTTCATCTTCATCTTTTTATCAAATTAACTCAACACACGCTCGCATTCGATCGTTATCGACAATCGATGACATCACATCGATATACACACACATTTAGATATCGACCATTATGTTATGGACTAATCCTAACGGTTTACATAAAACGGAAAAACGGAATCATTATCCTCATATTATCGTTAGTTATTTAAAGAGATGCAAAAAAAAAAAGTAATCTTACAAACTGATTGGCTAAAATTAAAGGAAAGTACGTACATATACAAATTTGCATACAAAACTGAAATGGTTATTTCTGGTTTTGATGTTTGTTTTGTTTTCTTTTTTGTGTTTACGGATTTTCTTCTTTAATTTTAATTAGGCATAAATTATTTATATAAATATTTACAAGTTTCTTTGCTATTTTTAGGGAGTTGTTGCCGCTGCTTACTTCTTCTTGTTCTGCTCTGCCGTCCTTTTCTAGCGCCCATTCTCCTTCTCTTTCGCGCGCTCTATTTTTTTGTTTGTTTTTGTTTTCACACTCTAAAAACTAATTTCGGTTTAATCTTCATGCTTTTTGTTTTCTGTATAGACTAAAGAAAAAAATGTTTTTCGCTGAATGTTGCGTCCGTCCTTCCTCTTTTTTCCTTCCCGGTCATTCTTTCTCTTTTACTCTTCGGAGTTTTCTTATAGGTTTTTCTTTTTGTCTGGCTTTAGGCAGATTTCAAATCGGTTTTACATACATATAGATCTATATATTATTGAAACATTTAGCTTGGTAGTTCATGTTTTTTTTTGCAGTTTTATATAGTTTATATATATATATATATATTTCTATTAATATGCCTTGGATATTAATATTTAATACAATGTTACGCATAGTGCATTACAAATATAGTTTTAAAATTAAAAAAAAAAAAAATGTATGTATATATATATATATATATCGGTACATATATATATAATTTTAATAAAAACTATTACATTAGTTTACTATGTAATTAGAAGTAAATTACTTCAAATGGGTTCACTTTTGTTTTTTTTTTTTTTCTGATCCTAACTGAGAATCCGATCTCAAGATTTCCTTTTCTTTTTTCTCATTTTCTTTGCATTTTTTATGTGGCATAAAAAAACGGCTATCTGATTCTTTTTCTCGTGGATATTATGGAATTGCATCATTTGATTCTATGAAGTTTTTAGTTCTTATCGCTTCGGTTTTTTGTTTGCGGTTCAGATGAGAGTATATACATAAATCTGTATATGTACGTGTGTGTGTGTGTACGTGTGCGGTGGTGTGTGTGTTTTAAGGTATTTTTATTCTTAAATCAAATTTCTTTTGGATTTTGATACAAAACAAACAAAGAATGATTTCCTTTCCAATTTCAATATTATAATAAAATATACGTTGGTTGGTATCTTCCTTTTAAAAGCGTTAAAATTAAATGTTTGTGGGTGTGTAACATTAAAAAAAAAATAAACATTCGTGATATATTTATATATATATATATATGCGTGTGTATATATGTGAATACATAATATTAAATATGCATGTATACAAAATGGAAATTGGCAATTAAAATTAGTTTCTCTTTCTTGTAAGGCAAAATTAGTAGTCTGCAGTGTATGTGTACTGTGTTGTGTGTATGAGTGAGTGTTGTTTTCATGTTTGAACTACAAACAAACATAACCCAAAAAAAAAAAAGACGTGCAACAATTTGTAATTTCCCATTGCAAATGTTTTCCTTTTATCTGTGTCTTAATAATCCGTTCTGTGATTTTTTGCTGTTTTCTGCTCATTTTCCAGGTTCAGTTTTTTATACTGTGTGCTTTTTTAGCCTACGCTAATTTGCTACGTTTTTGTTTATGTTACCCTTATTATTTTTTAATACAAAGAAAAAATATTATGTACCTTCTCTCTTGTTACGCGTTTTCTTGGGAATCGGTTTCTTTTTTTTTTGCAGTTTTGTTTTGTTTTTAGATGCCACCCTACTTACTAATTTACATTTAGCATTTAATTATATTAATTATTTTAGATTAATTATTCTGGTTGGTATTTATAGTTAACAAAAAAAAAGTGTGTGTTTATAGCAGCCTTTATAAACAATTTCTCAAGCTTTCCCCTCTGCGATTATTCTCAAGCTTTCAACATTCTGTTCTTCCTATACCGTCCTCTACTCTTCCCACATTCTTTGCATTACTTTACTTTTCTCTTTTAATTTCCTCTGGGTTTCTGCTGCAGCTTTGCTTTTTCCCTATCTTCCGGGTTTTGCCCCCTTGGTTGTTCGTCTTTCTCCTGCTGATTTTGCTGCTTTTTCCTTTCTTGTTTTTGTTTTTTTTTTTTACGCTTTACGCTTGTTTATCACATTTAATATATATATGCAAATATATATTTATATATAGTTTCATTATTTTAAGTTTTTGTTTTTGTTGTTGTTTGCGACTGTCTCTGGAAATTCTTGGGGTGTTCCTGTTGGTGGTGGTGATGGTGTTGCTGTTACAGCAGCAACATTAGCTTGGCTTGGCGGCAGTGTTGCAGGCAGCTCTTCGTCGTTTCCTAAACTCCCCTGTCATCATTCCTCTTAAATCGTCGTTGCTTCCATCCTCCTTTCCTAATTTTACAACAGCTCTTGATGCAGAAGCAACTTGTGCTGTTGCTGCTGAAGTTGCGCCTGCTGTTGCAACTGTTGCTGCTGCCAGCGCTTGTATTTCCCCTGATAGGCCGGTGTTCCCCCAGCTCCCCCTACTCCTCCTGCGGCAGCACCAGCATTACCAGCATTTGCCGTCATTGCTTGCATATTGTTGTTAATTATGGAGCTGTTGTTATTATTATTGTGGAAGTGGGCTGCATCCATTACCGTTTCATAGCAAAAGGCTGCAGCATCGAGAAGCGTTGCAGCATAGTTGCTGCTACTGTTTTGCAAATGTAGTTGCTGATTCTGCTGGTACTGTTGTTGGAGTTGAAGTTGCTGTTGTTGTTGCAGGAGTTGTTGTTGGCTGGCAGCTAAAGTAGCTGCTGCTACTGCGGCGGCGGCGAATTATGAATTGGAATTGCGCTTGGTTGGCAGCTAGGACGAACTTGACTGATTCATATTGCCAAACATGTGGGCAGAGAACGATGTCTGGCCAGTGGAATTGGCCTGCGACGTTGACGACTGTTGCTGCTGCTGTTGTTGTTGTTGCTGCTGCTGTTGTTGCGCCTGCTGCTGTTGGTTCAGCGAGCCACGCCCATGTTTCGGTATAGGCGGCTGAATGTACTCGTGCCTGGCCAGCGCAAATACATCCATGCGATCCTCTTTCCGATATGCCAAACATCCTCGGATGAAACTCTGTTTTAATATAATAATATACAAATTATTTGAGATTAGCAAATATTTCAAAAAAGCTACGAATTGTCAGTTAGATTACCCACCTTGGCCTCATTTGAAACGGTTGGCTTGTTGGAAAACTGCACTTCGGTGGCCTTAAGGATCGTATTCTCCTCGAGGATCGTAGCCTGCGACTGATTGTGACCGAAGGGCTTCTTGCCGTACAGACACTGGTAGAAGATCACGCCCACACTCCACACATCTACCTTGGAGGAGATCTTCGGCGGATTCTTGCCCACCACAAAGCACTCTGGTGGCAGATACCTAAAAAGATCGAAGAATAAATAAATAAATATTAGTACATGTTTAATTTATGAACTAGTTCTCAACGCTTAGAATTTAAATCTCTGTTGTATATCAATACCCACCAGTAAGTGCCCGCTCCCTGGGAAGTTAGATCCATGCCGTGATCGGGATTGTAGTTCTCGTCGTCCATCACCTTCGACAGACCGAAGTCGGTGATCTTGATCTCGCCGCAAACATTGCCCTCGGTGAGCAGAATGTTGCCGGGCTTCAGATCGTAGTGGATAACTGGAGGCTTAATCTCATTTAGATACTTGAGTGCAGATACAACCTAATAAAAAAAAATACAATTATTAACAAATCGACCGATAATTTGTAGTTGCAATAACATACCTGCATTATTATCGAGCGCGCTTCACGCTCGGGTATAGTCTTATGTTGCTTCAAATAGAAGTCCAGATCGTGGCCATCACAGTATTCGAGCACTGTGCAAAATGAATTTGCATCGATCTCGAAGACGTCATAGAGCTTGACGACCCGCGGATGATCCAGCGCCTTGTGGATGTTGTATTCCCGCAAAGCGTGTCTGAATTTGGGTAATTAGCAAGGATTTCAAAGAGACTTTAGTAAATTGTTTTCATTGATTGCTACCCCAACCCCATATTACTAAGCTTATATCTCCTATATATTTCATATTTATAGTGCAAATATATAAAAAGAAAGGTGTCCTGCAAATAAATGTATCCCTTTTTCATTTAATCTGATCTAATAAGGAGAAGAATATTCAACCCATTTAGCACTTGCTTTTTAAAGTATTAGTAAATAGCTACTAACTTTATCTGCAAAAACCGCAAAACCTCTAATCAAATGGCATTTCCCCCACTTGACTTTTCCTGCTTCTCTGTTTTACTACTCACTTGATATAATTAGCTTTCTTATCCTCCTTCCAATCCTTGTTTAATTGGTGCACCTTACATGCGACATAGCGTTGCTCCTTGAGGTCGAAGGCCTTGTGAACCTCTGAGAAGCCGCCCTTGCCCAGCAACATCAGCAGAAGATAGCGATCGTTCAGCACGGGATGGTTGTTGAAGCGGGACTAAAAGAAATATATACCATTTTTATGTTGGAAATGCGAATTATAAACAGTTGGAATATTTTATGACGTACCTGATCCTCGTTGAGTATCCGCTTGAGCTCTCGGATGTGCAAATTGCGCTCACGTTCTAACTTTTCCATCTCCAGCTGCAGGTCCGCGTCCTCCTTCTTGAGAGCATTTTGGCGCAGCTTGAGGATCTCATCGTACTCGTAGTACTCCTGCGCAGTATACGCCCCTGATACGGGATCTGGCTTAAGGAACGTGCCCGAGTCCGAACAGCTGCCGCTATCGTTGCCGCCAATACCACCGCCTCCTCCTCGATCTGATAATCTGTCGCCAACGCCTCCCGAGTTGCCAACATTACCACCCGAGCCGCCGCCGCCATTGTGTAGCAATTGAGCCTGATTAGCCTGCGTCGAATTACTGCGCGATAGACCACGTCCGCCGCCGCCTCCGACACCGCCAACACCACCGCTGCCAACGCCGCCGCCACCAACACCACCGCCAACGGCACCGCCACCAATTGCGCCGGCATTATTGCCACCCAATCCGCTATCGACGCTAACGCCACCGGCTGTACCTCCCAGGCGATCACTCCCCGGTCCGGTGACAACGCCGCCCGTCAGCTGCGAGGAATCGTTCGAGTTGGAATTCTGCTGCTGCTGCTGATGTTGCTGTTGCTGCTGCTGCTGCTGGTTGTTCTGATTGCTGTTGTTGTTGCGCTTGCGTCCGGACTCCGCCGGACGCTTCTTCATCAGCTGCTTTTTCTGCCGGTCAATTTCTTCGCGCTCGGCGGTTATCTCCTCCTGCCGCCGGCTCAGCTCCTGGAACGCATAGCCGTCCGTCCAGTTCTCCTGAAAAATGTAATAAATACATACATTTGGTTAACAAAGTGTACTAATCCCATTGTTTCTTTAATAGATGAAGGAATTTATTTTAATCAATTTGCTTACCTGGAATGTGGCGCCCACTCGCTGGGTAACGAACTGCCCGAGTCTCAGGCGATTCTGCATGCACTTCTGCCGCGCTTCCTTCTTCTCGATGCTACTTTTCTCCTTCAGCAGCTTTTTTACAACATCAATGCATTTGGCAATGTGCGACTTGTGCTGATCGATCGTCTTTTGATTGCCAACAATCTGGCACTTTTGCTCATCGGAAAGACGAGTCATTTCATCCAATTTCACCTTGCCGGATTCGTGTTCCGCCTCTCGCTCCTGCAGCTCATGCAGCGACACCTCCGTTTGGGTGGCCTTACTGTATGTGATAATAGCCGCAGGCATGGCCATCGGTGGTGGCGGTGGCAGTGGTGGTCCAACGCCAACATTAACTCCAACGCCAACGCCCACACCGACCATGCCAACAACTCCCAGGGAGCCAAGTTGATGCGGATGAGTGGGCACTACGGATGCCGTCGATGTAGTCGGCGGTCCTAATTGCTGTTGTTGCTGCTGTTGTTGTTGCTGCTGCTGTTGCTGCTGCTGAGACAGGGGCGTCTGTTGCTGTTGCTGGATGGACGCAAGGCTTAGGGAATGACCACCCAGGCCGACGACCACGTGTGGAGGAACCATTTGATTGGAAGTCTGTTGCTGTTGGCGCTGCTGCTGCTGTTGCGCCTTGCTGGAGTTGACATAGTGGAAGTCAGCTCCTGGTTGCTGCTGCTGTTGTTGCTGCGGCGTCTGTGTTTGGGGACTAGCTGGTGGATACAGAGCGTAGGCGCTGCTTGTTTGCACTTGCACCTGGTTACCAGCGGCTCCTCCTGCACCACCTCCCGTCGCAACACCGCTTGCCTGCTGCTGTTGCCCCGTTTGCTGCTGCTGTTGCTGCTGCTGGGCGGATGATGGTGACTTGCTACCGCCTCCCGTATGCGACCCTCGGAGACCAGCTGTGTTACCTCCCGCACCACCTGGCACACCAACGCCCACGCCCGTTTGCTGCTTATTGAAGTAGTCGTTGATCTTTTTGTTATCGCTGACGGGTAGCATAAGACGGGCGCTCTTGCCACCGCCACTTCCAGAACCTGAGCCGGCACCACTTCCGCTTCCGGCGCCACCAGCTCCACCGCCACTTCCGGCCGAACCGCCAAGACGATCACCCAGATTTAGGCTCATGTTCACCTTGGGCATATCACGAAAGGCCAGAGATTTGCCCTTCAGGCTGCTGTTATTAACAACGGTTGCTCCTGCTCCGCCGGAACCACCGCCACTCCCCGCCTCATCCGAACTGGTGTGCGGCATTTTCCGCTTTCGTTTTCGCTCCGCTGGCGTCCGGGGCTTTCCCACCGCCGTCACTGATGTCGTCGTGGTCGTACCCGCCGTCAAATAGGCCATCTCGCCCCCATTATTGGAGTGCTGAGGCGGCGGTGGCGGTGGCTGTTGCATTCCTAAGGCGGGCGCAAAGGCGGGATGTTGCTGCTGAATGGCTGCTACTGCAGCTCCTGGCGTAGCACCACCGCTACTCAGCATATCATTGACATCCTTCTCGCTGTGCGAGGAGCCAGTGCTCATATTCGAATCCGGATTGCTGCTACCCTGATGCAGCCCTTGCAGCGATTGTTGCTGCTGCTGGTGGAAGTGTTGCTGCTGCTGGTGTAGTTGTTGCTGCTGTTGCTGATGCAATTGCAGTTGATGCGGATGTTTATGCAGATGCTGCAGATGTTGATGCGGGAGTATCTGCTGTTGCGCCTGCTGTTGTTGCTGCTGAGGATTCTGTTGCTCCTGTTGCTGCTGCGGCTGTTGTTGGGCGCTGTGATGATTAGCAAAGTGCTGTTGCTGCTGCTGCTGTTGTGGGGGCGGGGGCTGTGGATGCTGCTGCTGTGGCGGTTGCAACTGCTGCTGCTGATTGGGATGGTGGTGACTTAGGGCCGAAGTGGTCTGCGGGGCCATCTGCAACTGAGCGCCAGCGGACATCTGCAAGAATTAAAAAATTACACAATTATTATTGAATTACACCGTTCTATACAGTTATATTTCTCAATTTTGTTATATTCTATATTATGACTTTTCTCAAGGATTTAATTTTTTTTTAATGTATTAGTGTGGTAAATATTCAAAGAAATTTCTAAGCAATTAATATCACATCTAATTTTCATATTGTTTTTTTAATGGGTAATTTGATTTGTTTTTTTTTTAAGCATTTATTTTACTTTTCCCATTCCCGTCAACCCTCCCTCTCTCTTTCTCTCACTGACTGCTTTATGCACTTTGCAACACTGACGCCGCTTTTGTTTTGCTCCGCTGCTTCTTTCATTTTGCAGTTTATTTTACGCTTCTCTTTCGCTTGGGCAAGAGAGTGCTGCCACATGCGCGGTGTTTGAACATCATAACTAGGTGGCAACCCCGGGGCGGTGGCAACAAAATGGGCAGCAAAGGGGAATGTGCAAAATATGTCCGCGGGTGTGAGCGAGACGAAGACAAAGCGGCGGCGGCATGCGTTTGCGTGTGCTAGAGAGCGCGAGTGCAAAGGAGATAGCAATAGGGACAGAGAGCGAGAATGCAGTGGCATGTGTATGTGTGTGTAATGTTTTATCAAAAAGCAAAGCGTAAAGACAATGAAATAAAAATGTTGAAAAATTTAACTAGAAATGAAAATGGCTACTTCATAGCCACCTCATTTTTTTGCACACTTCTTTGCTTTCACAGTTTTTTTTTTTTTTTAACTTTTACACTTTACACTTTTGAAACTTTTATTTTATTTTATATTAAAAAATTTGTTGAAATATGATGATCACAAAATGCCGTTCACCTTTTTTAAGCGCCGCATATTTTTCTGCACACACATACGTGGCTGCGTGCTCCCTTGTGTGTGTGCGGATGTGTATGTGTGTGTGCGTGTATTTGTGTGTGTTTGGTTTTTCACATTCTATTACAATATTATCACATTCGGTATTCCATTTTTTTTTCCTTTTTTGCTCTATCGTTTAGTTTGCACTAATTTTCACATTTGCCTTGATTTTTTTTCTATATATATACATATATATTTGTTAATTTGTATGTATATATAATATAACCGTGTTTATTCCGATTTTTTTGCAGTCGCTCTCATCGTTCGCGTGTGTTTGTAAAATGGTAACGAGCGGAGCGAAAGAAAGAAGGTGCAAACACACAGAGAGTTAGCAAGCCAAGAGAAGAAGGAAGAACAAGAACGGCGAGAGGAAGAGAGCGAGCAAGAGCGAGTGTAACTATTCGCTCATTTGCAAAATCGAAAAAAAAACCGAAACGAAAACGGGCTAAAGTACACTAAAAATTAATCCAATTAATTCTGGTTGAGCCGTCCACTCTTTAACTTTACACTTTATTTAATGTTTTAGTTTTTTTCTTTTGTTTTCTTTTTGTATTTAAAATATTTTTGTGCGCAACTTCCGCACGCGCGTTCGTTTAAAAACAACAGCGAAAGCAAACTACACACGCCGCCAACTACAACTACAACTACAAATACAAATACAAGCTGCGCTGCCAGCGTCGCGGCATTGCAGCTTCTTCTTCTTTCGCGGCTGCCTTCCATTCCACCGAACTTCCAATCCAAAACGGAAAGCAGCTGCTGCTTTCCGAGTGAACATAAAAGAGGGGGGGGAATGTGGGGAGTGGAAAGCGAAGAGACAAAGCAGAGAGAGGGAGAGGATAGCCGGCGTCTTTGTCAATTCGCGAGCGACGACGCCGGCAGAGGGCGCCATTGCCACAACACCACAAACACAGAGGCAACAAAAACAAGAAGGTAACAGAGCTGCCACCCGACGACCATAGAATAAAAAAATTAAACGGCTGGAAAAAGGTCAATAACAGAACCTGAGAATTTTTTCAATTCAAGTGTTAATTAAAAAAAATGTAATAACTTTATACATAAAATCCAAATTAATTTCATTACATTAAATATATTTTTCCTAGTTATTCTATAAAAACAGCTATAAAAGAGCCATTTTATCAACACTAGAGAAACATAAAATATCAAAAAGAATTAATTTCGAGTGGAATGGGCAACAAAAAAAGTAGTGCAATGCGTTCCAATGGGCAGTTAATTGGTTAGCAGAATAATTCAAAGTACAGAATAGGAATATTGTATTTTGAAGGAGGTCGATGGGAAAAGGGGAATAAGTAAATAGAACGTGCTTTATTCAATTTGAAGAATATGCGTACGATTTTGTAAACACAAATTTGATCGGGACAGAAATTTGATACTGTGTTTGCAGAAACAGAAATTAGGAGACAAAGGAAATATGCAAATTTTCAGTTTGGAAAATCTTTAAGAACAACAGAAATGTATAAGTTAACATTTACGAATTTCAAAACGCTATTATCAATAGAATTTGATAATAAACTATGTACACTATTCCATAGACTTTATATGATAAAACTATTTTTAAATAATAACCTTCCTCCCTTAATAATATGTTTATTTTGAGAGTGTGATTATTTCAATATTTTTATTTTTTTCCAATTAAACGTTAACATGCGTAATAATGTTTATTGTTTCCCTCTCCCAACAAGTTAGTTTTTAGACAACAGCTGTCGCATGGTTTCCGTTTATTCCTGAATGCATAAAAAGGAACACAAAAAAAGGAGGAGGCAGCAGGGAACAGAAGCATTAGGAAAAGCTATTGGGCGAATAAAAGAAAAAAGTGTTGCCAAACATGGCTAAAGCATGAAAATTGTAACGGCCAGCGAAACACGAAATTGGCAACACCGAGAAACTGAGAAAACGGAAAAGACGAAGACGAAAGAGGGAGGGCGAGAAAACGAGACGAGCGAAAGGCCAGACAATAAAATGAGCTGATGATAACGAAGGGGGAGAAAGGGGGGAATTGGGGCGAAGAAAGAGGACGATGGGGAGCAGAAGGAGAAGCGCAAAACGCAAAGCGAAAAGCGACAAACGACGACGACTTAATTTTTGGGCCGTGCCTTTGCCTCACGTGCGCGTGAATGAGATAAATCTATGATGATGATTATGCTGCTGCAGTGCGAAAGGGAGAAGATGAGGGGCAAGTGAGAAAGGGAGCGGCAGAGAGGTGCATGCGAAAAGAGCAGAGGAGCAAATGTGGAATGGAAATGCGAGCCGAGGTGGAATGGAATGGCACACAGAAACAAATTTGGTTGCTCTACATAAAATTCAAATGAATTTCTAAATGCACCTCAAAATATGTGATTTGAAATGTAACTAATTTTTTTTAAGTCTGATTAATAATATTTATTCCACATTAAATTTTAAAGACTAATGTCATTAAAACATTTTTTAACGTAAAATTCAAATTAAATTTTTGTTATTTAATGAATGAACAACTCTCTCAGTGCACAACATGAATAGGGATAGTGGAATAGGGGTCTGGAAGGATGACAAACGGAAAAGAAACGAGGAAGAGGGAAAGGAAAGCGGAAGCGGAGAGACGCAAGTGGGTGGTTGGGCGTCGTGTGGGTGTGGCAAAATAAACCAACGGAACTCACATGCATTACGCATATGCATTTCTTATTGAGAGAAAATCTGAGAGCGAGAGAAAGAGAGAATGACGGGAAGGGAGAGAACCCAAAACAGGAGGAAAGATGATTATGGAGAGACACATTCCAATAGTGCTTGAAAAACCAATGTACGCTTTTTTTCTAGCATTGTTCTGTAATTTACAGTGAGTCTTCCCTAATGGTAAAGGTTAATTGTTCAACCTTGTTATTTCTTGTTAAATTATTGATTAAAATATAGCAATATAAAAGCACTAACATATATTTACCTAGAAAAGTCTTTTAATGATGGATAAACAGTCTAAACAGTATTTATGTCTGCCAAAACAAAAAAACCTTTTAACATCCTTCGCGTCTTGCAAATTGAGGAAGTTGAACTTGTATTAAACTATTTTGTTGGAGGAAAAATAAAGCTGCCTAGTTGCAGTTAGCCAAAAAAAAAAAAAAAAAAAAAAAAAGCAAAGCGAACCAGTTTTATATATTTTTTTTTTTTTTTTTGCAATAATGTTGATAAGACAGTGATGTTGTAAAAGTGTGTGTTTTTAAAACTGGTTTAGCTGCTGTCCCGTAAGAGACGTTGACTTCAAGCCAAAGAAAAACAAAAGAAAAGGCAGAAAAAAAAGCACAGCAAAACACATCGAACCGCAACTCGGCTCGACTGCGTCGCTGGCAGCTCTGTTCACGCTCTGCTTTGCCGCTTCTGCTGGCGCAGTTTAACAGTTCACGTCGATGAGTCAAGGTCGAGAGACGTCACGCAAATTTTCGTTTTCATTGCCTTTTGCCCACAGACAAAAAATACAGCAAACAAGCTAGCAAGCAACCGAGGCAACGATCACACACACTCGTATACATTCGTACACATGCAATCGCACATGCTGTTTTATTTTTAGACACGAATAACGAGCCGAAGAGGAAACGAACTTGCACGAGAGAGATAAAGCCGGGCAAGAGAGCCAAGAGAACCGCGCAACAAACATCGCTCCTTTAAAAAAATGAATGAATCAAACAAATATCGTTGTTGTTGCTTTAAATTTAGGCTATTGAAATTTTTTTTTTGTCAATTTTAATAAGTATCTAAAAAAGACGATTTATAATCATTAATAAAACAAAAAAAGCTTTCAGAATTTATATAATAGTTATTTTATCAGGTTAATCTTTAAAAAATTCTAAAGTATATAAATAAATAACGGAAACATTTATAAATAATTTACATGCTCAATTACTATCTGTTTAGCTAGAATTTTACTATTATAGGAAAACATTTGGTTAACTCAATTATATTTTAATTTGCCCCACTGTTGTCTTATCGGCGTTTCTATTTTGATTTTGCATTACCCCTAACACTGCGATATTTTCTATTGCTTAACTTATTAAATCCCATTGGGTTTAACATTAACATAGTTTTCGTTTTTGTTTTCTTGTGGCCCAATTTTCTGAGCGCCGCTGTTAACGCTGGCGTCGCAGCT